ATTATTATTATTATTATTATTTTTTTTTAAGGTAAGTAAGTAAGGTTTATTTATATAGAACCTTTCTCAGATAAGCTTAACAAAGTGCTGTGTAATATGAGGAATAAAATACAAAACAGCACCATGTAAAATACATATAGATAAAATAAATCCAATTATCAATAAAGGCAAAAAAGGAATGCATTTCATTAAATTTCTATATAATGCATTTTGCTTTCTATTTTGAAAATAATGAAATGTTTCATATTGTTTTCATTTTTTTTTTTCTAATCACTTTACAATGCACAGCACTGCTGGTAAAAAAATATCCTGCACTGATTTATTTTATTTTTTTTACTGTTTCCTGTCTGGCAATGTGGCAATAAGAATAATTGTCTTTATGCCAAAAAGAGCCCAACATCCTGAGAATTATTTAGGTCATCGCCATCTGTGAGTCGCTTACTTACCGGAGCAACATGTGAGAAGAAGCCTATCAGCCGAGAGGTCAAATCTCTTTAAGAACCGACAGAGGAAGTTCCGTTGCCTTCTGCTGATGTATTTTGTAAGAGCTGTTTGCAGGAAGTATTAAGAGAGAGACAAGTTAACGGTTTGCAAGGAGAGGTTTCGTCACTTTCTATCTTTCTGTAATGTTGCATAGAAGCAACAAAGCTACAGTTCCCAACATTTTGTGCAAAATAATCAGTCCAGCATAGTTTGGTGTGGATCAGATAAAAGCAGTGCTGCCTCTCAACGTAAAAATCTGCAGCTTCTTTGAAAGCAGAGTGATAGTAATATAGAGGGATGAGCTCAGTTACTAGTCAGTCCTGCTAAAGACCCATTATATTGATCTATCTGATTACCTGAGCAAGCCCTCCTCACAGAAATAAGGTCCCACTCTGTCTCCCTATTACTTAGTAGCCATTTAAAGCAGAAGCTTTGGTCAGTAAGCTGCTGCTGATCCCAGTTTCTCAAAGGAGCATCTTTCTTTTTGGACTTTCTCTTTTTGGGACCCCAAAATCAAAATGCAGTGTTGAATTATTATATTTTTCAACTGATCTAAATCAGGGGGCCTGGATTTACATTATAATTTTATTGGTTAAAGCTAAATAATTTTGTATTGTATTGTAATTTCACAATTATCTAAAGTCAGTATTTAATAATGCAGCAGAGAATGATGTGGACTAAATTAGTTAGTGAGGCACTTGTGAGCTTTCCTTTGCTTTGATAACATGAAGTTTGCCACAGATTCACCTCAGCCGTAACCAGCATGAGGTTTAGGTCAGCTTCTTAGCTTGTGTAACTAGTTTAGCCCGTTCAGAACAGTACATGGTGCTTAACATAGCAGATTACAACCTAGATTCATGGCTGAGGTAAAACTCTTGTGTCCCCAAGCAGTCGTCTCTTAGGTCATGTCCCGTTATTTCACAGTAGCAAAGGGGGTCAATTAAATTCAGAAATGGGGAAAAGACAGAAATTTGGGTGTTTTTTTGCACATTTGCATTAGTATATGCTCACAGATAAAAAAAGCCAAATTCTTCATGCATGAATTTATAAAACTGTGTACCTTTCTAGACAGTCATGAAGTGTTGGATGACATAGCCGAGAACTGTCCCACTGCAGCAAGAAGCCCCAGTATTGCCATCACTTTCCTGTGCAGAGTTTGCAGAGGTGTCAACTAACAAAGAACAAATACTCTGTTACCTTTCTTAAGTAGAAGTTTTGGCTATCTATCATTTACTGCAGTAATTATTTTTTAGACAACTTTTTACTTCTACTTCTTACATTTTTTTGTTTTACCAACTATCTCTATTTTCTACTCATTTCTACTCACATTTAAAAAATAGACTATTTAATTTGTGCCATTTAAGCTGTATGAGTTGTAACCTTTGGTATTAAAAAAATAAAAACAACCAAAATAATTTGTTACATCCAGACAATTTATTTGTGTTTGGACTTGGTGCTGCACCAACATGTTTGCCACATAACAAATTAAAAAGTTTTTCAAATGATGTAAAAGTATTTTTGACACTGTTACCACTAGTTATAAAACTAAGAAATGGATGTTTGAAGAAGTTATCATCCAGAATTGTAGAAAAATTTTCCTTTAATAGGGTAGTGCAGTCACCAGTATAAGGTTTAAAGCATCAAACATTTTTACTTTTATACTTTAAAAATGACACTTTTACACTTTCAATTTAATTTTCAAACCATCCAGCAGGTTCTCTGGTCTATTGTCATTGAAGATCAACCCTACCGACATTGAAGAAATTGGCACATATAGAAGATGATCTTTTTCTTTTCCGTTTTCAAAAACTTGTTTTCCTGTTTTTCACAACTCTGGTTCACCTTTTCTTCAATATGCTGACTTCAGAAACCCACCACAGATAAATCACTAAAGCAAAGCCTATGAAAACAAGAGCTCACATGTAACGTGTTTAGCTCCTGGCTTTTCTAGTTTATAAAATCATTTATAAGCTCCTAAACATCATCTCCATGGAGACATTCGTGTAGCTTTTATTTGCCCAAGACAGGGAATAAGCATAAATACTAGGGGAAACTAAATATTGTTGAAGCACTCAAGAGGTAACTTCTTATTAATAAGAATGAGAATCTACTGTAGATGGAATGAGGCTGTAATAGGAAAAAACTAAGCAAACAAAATAATAAAGAATTCTAACCCCTCTGTTAAATTGCCAGCTTAATATAGCAAAGAGGTTGGTGTTCCCAATGCTCTCTTGAAATGTTGTGGGGCTTACTGGTTGGTTCCTGGTAGTGGATGAAAATGTTCATACAGTGATAAAAATTACTGACAAGCCTAAAATCTTATTTGCCAGACTCTCGTTACAAAATAAAGGGCTTGACCTTCAAAGATTCAAAATGGGAGTGCTAAACTGTACGTCAAAAAATACATTTGTACATGTCATGACTCATGAGTGGGTGTTTTTCTGGTGATCTACAAAGGTTTTTTGCTTGGTTTTATCTTACTGAAATAAGCTTATTGGATTTGCTACTGTCAGTTTAAAAAATGGGCCATAAAATAAAGATGAGGTTCTAAACCACATAGTCAGAGGGAATAAGGACAATACGTTTTTTTTTAATGTATAAAGTACTTCGAATAGGTAGCCTATTTGAATGTGCTAAAAAAAAAATATTGTCATGGCCCCAGTTAACTAACTTGTATCTGTTCTTGTCCTGTTAGATCTTATTGCAGCATTTGATACAGTTGATCATAATCTTCTTCAGAAAGACTTGAATAGTATGTGGTCTGCTCAGTGGCACAGTGGGACTGGCGACCTGTCCACTGTCCATATATATATATTTATATATATATATATATATATATATATATATATATATATATATATATATATATATATATATATATATATATATCCGTCCATCTCCTCCTAATCAGTAGAATTATTAGACAGAACGTGATTAATTTCCACTGTTATGCTGATGATACCCAGTTATATCTGTCTATAAATCCAGATAGAGCTAACCCGTTACATAGATTACAGGCATGTCTTGAAAACATAAAAACCTGGATGACTCTAAACTTTCTGCTTATGAATGCAGAGTAAACAGAAGTTATAGTCTTTGGATCAGAGGGTAGACTTAAAACTTTCCTTTTTGATAAAGCTTATAGTTAGAGTGGCTCAGGTTATCCTGAGCTATCTCTATAGTTATGCTGCTATAGGCTTAGACTGCTGGAGGACATAGAGACCCCTTTTCATCATTCTGCTTCATTCTCTCTATTCTCCTACTCTGCAGAATCTGTTAGTTCAATCTCTAACGTTATGCTCTTTCTGCTTTTTCTCATAGTAACTTTACTTCGTCTGTTCCTGTTTGGCTGTGACACCATCCTGGAGAGAAATGTCAGCTCTGCTACTGCAATCAACAACTTTGTTTATAGATGTTGGAGCTTGGCCTGTTTTCCAGTGTGGTCCTGTTTCTCTGACTCTGACTAACTGGATGTGCTCTCTTCATCCTCTGACATGGGAGTCGGCTCGGAGCTCGTCTGCCTAGCCCTGTGTTTCCTGGATGGGGCCGCCTTTTTCAGCTGCTTTTGTATGTCTGCTTCTGTCTCGTTGAACCCCAGTCTGCCTCAGAAGGTGGCCGCTCACACTGAGCCTGGTTTTGCTGGAGGTTTCTTCCTGTTAAAAGGGAGTTTTTCCTCTCCACTGTCGCTACAAGCATGCTTAGCGTGACGGATTGCCTTCGAGTCAATGAGTCAATGCAAATTTTAAACTTTAATACTTTGAATTAATTTGACTGTATAATCTGGTTGGATTGTAAAGTGACTTGAGATAAGATGTGTTGTGAATTGAAGCTATATAAAAAAAAACTTAATTGAACTTAATTGAATTGATAAAGATAAAACAGCATAAAAAAGGGTTTGCAAACGTGAATAACTTTGCTCCATCATTGAGGATCTGTCTTTAAAGACAAAGTAGCCCAGTAAATATATATATATATATATATATATATATATATATATATATATATATATATATATATCCATATATATATCCATATATATATGGATAGTGGATTGTCTGCAGAGAGCAGGTGTTGCCCTCATAGCCAATTACAGACCAGAGGGAGAAAAAGGCGGAGTGATGTCACTCAGAAGCTTGATATTTTTAGGTAACATATAGCACTATCATGGCACTGTCTGAGCAAATTAGGCAGAACAAAGTTCATATTTATTTTAGAGAGCAAGGGTGAGTTTGAGTTTTTTGTTTTAGTTTTTTTAATTTGTTGTTTGTTTAACTTGCTCGCTTTTGGGTTGTTTGGCTCAAGCAGCTTTTGGCTCATGTTTTGTTTTTTTTTTTTGTTTTTTTTTCCAAAATGTGTTTGCTAAACGCTGTTGGTTATTTACTACACTAAGACTTCATTAGATCATGTGGAACATTTCCAAACATATCAGAATTTGTACATTAGCACCAGTTGATCCTGTCAAAGAGGAGGAACATGAAAGGAGGGTGTGTCTTGCTTTGAGCTGCAGTCTCTGAGCTCCACCTCTGCTCACAGATGAAAATCCACTATGGATTAAGTGTTGGGACCTTCAGATTGAACACTTGACATTTGGGGTTGATCTGTTCTCGGAGTCAATTTAGAGGAATATTCCTTAAAAAACTGGATTTGACGGAGCGGTGCCTGCTGGAATCCTTCCTGCAGTCCAGGGACCATCCGAAAGGGGTATGACACTCTAATTTGATCTAATCTTAATGCTTCAAATGGTTAATTTTTAATTTACCAAGACTTTCTTCAACATCAGATATTTATAAGATCCTCTGAGAAAACTACAAATAGTTTCAAACTGCTTTTACCATTAGTGATGAAAACATTGCACTTCACCTCAAAATTGTAAAGATATCTGCTTTATATTTTTTTAATGCAAACATTACTTATTTGGAGCACACATTAAGTTTAGCTTTTTTTAATGGTTGCGTAGAGATTATTTTGTTGGTGTCTGCTTTTTGACTTGGTGTATCGACACCAATGTGCACAGCCTCAGGCTTATCTAAGTATATCTTCTCAGGGATTAAACTGTGTCTTAATGAGCTTTCGCTAATGTCCAAGCTACAGTTAAAGGACAGCTCTCCAATAAAGATTCTCAGTATAAACACTTTGTCACTTTATCAGAACTTTAGTTAATAATACTTTCAATTCATCTTATTCTGTGGTCTACTTGCAGAATCTCAGATTTAAGTATAATTGAAAAGTTCAAATATAAATTCCTTTGTTTGGCAATGACCATGTCTATAAAATAGCATTTTTAATAATTGAAATAGCTGGGACATTTCCATGAGCTCTTAAATCTGAAGTCTTAATTTAGGATTACATTTTAGTGGCAGCACCTCATAATTCGATGTATCTGAATATTTTTTTCCACAAAGTATTTTGATTTATTGTATAAAGCATGGCGCAGTTGCCTCTGAGCTTTTTGTCACCAAGCTTTATTTCTAAACTGAAACATTTACATATTTGCAGAATATATTAATCTGTAAATCTAACAAATATCAAATGTCTAAACCAAGTTTTTTTTTTTTTAAGATTGAAGGAGCGAATGGTCCACTGAACTACTCTATATCTATAGGCACTTTAAACACCAAAATTGACGCAAGTGCTGAACAGATATCACACACAAACATTAATACAAAAATACAAGAAGATGCATAAAAGATGTTAGAAAGCAATTTATACTGTAAATCTTAAACAAGTCAAAAACCAATGAAAAAAGACGATTTTTCAGTGCACATTTCTAATTACAGTGAAGAGGCCTGTCTAATGTGCACTGGCAGTGGATTTCAGAGCCTTTGAGCTGCAACAGAAAAAGCTCTGTCCCCTTTGAACTTTTGTAGTGCTCTGCACTTCCAGAAAAAGCTAGGCCGCTGTCTTGAGTGAACGTGATGGGGGCTGGGGGGCCAGCATAACTGTAAAAGGTTTGAGACATTTGCAAAACATCCTAATGTCCAAACTGTTGATGTTATGATGTTGTGTAGAAATGTAGCTATTTTTAACTGAAGCAGACAAGGTCACTTTATATTAAAGAATAATGTTGCCCTGCCATATTAAAGTCAGCAAGTTCACCGGAACATCTGGAGGATGCAAGTCTCCAAGATTGGTTTATAATTGTTTTCAAATTGTGGAAGCTTTAAAATGACAATAATGCAAGAAACTTTGTCATATTGTGCACAGAAACATTAATCTTAAGTTTGAGTGCTTCGTGTTGACTTTACTGAGAGAGAACCCCCTCCTAAACCATCAGACCTTATGGTTCTGGTGGACCATCAAGGGGCTTAACTGCAATTTAAAGTATGTAGAGGCAAAGCTGTTTGTTATTTATCTGTAATACAACATGTCTGGTAAAACTCTTGTAAATTATATGAAACCACCATCCTATTTAGAATATCCTCACCGTGAAGTTTCTCATTTGTCCCTTTGGCTACAAGACTGAGTAACTCCTCTAAGCTTTGACAAGGATGCAGTAATGCTTTGAACTAAACTATTTTTATCTCAGTCCAATCTATCTATCTATCTATCTAGCTATCTATCTATCTATCTATCTATCTATCTATCTATCTATCTATCTATCTATCTATCTATCTATCTATCTGTCTGTCTGTCTGTCTGTCTGTCTGTCTGTCTGTCTGTCTGTCTGTCTGTCTGTCTGTCTGTCTGTCTGTCTGTCTGTCTGTCTGTCTGTCCGTCCGTCCGTCCGTCCGTCCGTCCGTCCGTCCGTCCGTCCGTCCGTCCGTCCAACATTTTTATGATGCAAAACCCAAAAATGTTTGTTGCAAGGTTTAGATTTTCATAAAAATTACGAAATGCTGTAACAAGTCCATTTTAGCAGCAAGTCATAATTTGAGGGGAGCAGATTTCAAACGTTGCAAATCAGGGCAAAGCGTGAAAACTGAACTGAAATTATCTCAAATTGTTGCCAACTAGGTAAGTGAAAAGAAAAGCAAACCACCCAGTGATTAGAGTTGGTAAGAACTGCAACATACAATTCAAAGAAAAGACTTTATTAATATTTATTGATATGTTTGAAATTTTAGGAAAGTTTTCTGACATAATGTGCTCTAATGCAGGCATCAATCCTATGCTCTTTTCTCTGTCTTGCAGTGAGTAATATGAGGAAGCCTTTGAATGTGCTTGATCCTGGGATAAGACTACGGGACCTTCAGGGTGTTTAGACCAGGGAGCAGCATGCAAATCAACCGGTGAACCGCTGCTGCCCACTGAACCCCTGACTTGAAGCTGCCAGCACCACCAGCTCAACTTCTGGGGCAGGAATTCCAGACACTCCAGCTCTGTCTGCCAGCCTGCACCTAAACACCATGGATTTCATGCTACCCATAAGAAGTCAAGAAATGATAGCTTTCTCCTGCTCTGATCCTTTCCTGGATCCCGACGGCATCAACACCCGAATCCAGCACCAGGTCGTAAAGAGAAAGCTCCGGCCTGGACGGATTCTCGGCTTCATCATCAGCCTGGTGGCTGTCTGCACAGTTTGTTCACTGAGTGCCTTGTCGTTGGCCACTGTAGTGGCCACTGACCTCAAATCAGTTGCAGAGACCTCAGAAGATGCAGCAGTGCCCCAAAGAACTCTCCTACAGCACCAGAACCTCTCAGCAGCCACAGAGGACACACCGGTGGCCATGAAGTCATCAGATTTGGAGATGAATCAAGGAGACTACCCAACAGACTACTTCAGCGTGGAGGACAGGCGCCAGGGCTATGTGCTTCTTCATATGTTTGGAATGTTATATATGTTCATAGCCTTAGCCATCGTTTGCGATGAGTTTTTCGTCCCTGCACTCACTGTCATAACAGAGAAGCTGGAGATCTCGGATGACGTAGCTGGGGCCACCTTCATGGCGGCAGGTGGTTCAGCCCCAGAGCTCTTCACTTCTGTCATAGGGGTGTTCGTGTCTCACAGCAATGTGGGCATAGGTACCATTGTGGGATCTGCAGTCTTCAACATCTTGTTTGTGATTGGGATGTGCGCCCTGTTTTCCAAAGAGGTGCTGAACCTCACCTGGTGGCCTCTGTTTAGAGACGTCTCTTTTTATATCATCGGGTTGCTCTTGCTCATCTATTTTTTCCTGGATAATCAAATCACCGTTTCGGAAAGTATCAGTCTGTTATTGTGCTACACTTGCTACGTGACATTTATGAAGTACAATGCTGAGGTGGAAAATTTCATCAAAACCAGGCTGAGCAGAAACCAGGTGGACGAGCTGGAAACTGCTCCAAAGGTAAACCCCATCCATCCATCCATCCATCCATCCATCCATCCATCCATCCATCCATCCATCCATCCATCCATCCATCCATCCATCCATCCATCCATCCATCCATCCATCCATCCATCCATCCATCCATCCATCCAACACTTTCACCTTTTCTTGTTGATCAAAATGAAATTTTGCATGATGGGTTATTTTTTTTTGGTGTAGTGCAGTTTAAATCATCTCAAGTTGACCAAAGAGTTTTATATATAAGCCAAAGAACCAAACAGCAGTAAAAACTGAGCATATTTTGTGATAAATGGAATACCATTGTTTCTGTCCTGGAAATCTAAAGGACTTTTTAAAGGGGATAAAGAGCAGGTTGGAATAAATGTTGATAGAATCTGATTCAAAACTGAACCTGGGTGGTTTATTAAAAAAGACTTAACAGAACAGAGCTGCAGATTCTTGATGCTGACTAAGCCTCTACACAGACCGCCTCTCCAGTCTCTTCTTTTTTTGACCTTGTTCAGTCCAGAGACTAATAAGGCTCTTAAGACTGAGGTGATGTAATAGTTCTTGGCCGTCTTCAAGTAAATCCGATTAAGATTCTGGAGACTTTTGGGCTAGAACACAACCTTATAAAATGGAGGAAAATATAAGTATTTCATCAAGGTAATGTATGCTTCAGGAAACATGATTATCTCTAATATTTTATCAACAGAAACATGCATATATAATTCACATTTAAAGGAAGAGAATTTTAACATTGTAGTTTTTTAGGGGTCAGCTGCTGCTTGCTTCTGCTTACAATATGAAATTCTGCCCCAACTGTCTGTTTACAAAGAGAAAGAACTGCCAAAATGACTATAAAGAATATTTATTATACAGTACACAGGCAATAAAGCAATAAAAAATAAAAAAAATACACACATGCAGTATTTGCAGCATGTGTGCTATTCAGCATTACATGTTGAATAGTAAACAAACAGATCAGGAACAACTCCACCTTGTTTGAAGCTAATGTAGTTGATTGGAATTTTCTTCCTGCAGTAATATATATATATATATATATATATATATATATATATATATATATATATATATATATATATATATATATATATATATATATATATATATATATATATATATATATATGTACTGCTTTACTGATGGTAACTTTTGAAAGCTACAATTAAATGAAAGTAGTTTGGATCATAATTTTTTATTAATAAACGTTGTTCTAAGGGTTAGGATATTTAAAAAGTAGACAATGAACTGTTCATAAGATTTTAAGGGATTTAACAAAACACAAATCCATATATACATTTAAGGAATACAAAAATTATGAAAGTAATCATTATAATTTATTCAGCTTGGAAATGATTGTTCATGAGAGTTTTAAAGAGCTTCTTTTCTAACTCAGCTGGCTGTAGTACAGCCCAAATGTTTCATGTGAATAAGAGGAAAAGGAAAGATTTAGTTTATGTGTTTTAAATAGAAATAGAACATTTCTCTCTATATATATTACAGATTAAACATCAATAAACATATAATTCTGTTGCAATACTTTTCAAATTCATGAGTTATCTAGCTGTGCTGCATCTGGGTCTCTGAGCAAGACCCTTAACCCCACACTGCTCCCCGGGGCGCCACACAATGGCAGCCCACTGCTCCCCAAGGGGATGGGTTAAATGCAGGGGTACATCTCTCCACTCTGAGATCAATAAAGTTTAGTTATGAACATGAATAACAGACAGATATCTGGTTTCAGATGTGCTATTTTGGTTTCTCTCCTCTTTATAACATCAGCTAAAGCAATAAAACATAAAGTTTAAATTTCTTGAAATTTTCTCTTAATTAGAGAGAATTAGAAAATAAATTCCTTGGTTTTGAATATGTCAGCTATAGTCTCTGGTAAGCAAAGTTGATATTTCATTCAGTACACCCACTAGAGGGTTTGTCTTTCCAAGAAACAAACAATCAGATTGGAGAGCCAAACATCCACTCTGGACAGACGCTCTTATAAATTGATTTTTACAAAGAAACATTATTACTGCCTGTTTAATCGATGCATTACATAAATGTCTCCATACGTCCACAAACAGTTCTTTTTCAGATAAGAAAATAAGAATCCTGGATCTTTCCGATTATCTTCGATCTCATCATCATACATTGGAGTTTATACCAGAATATTAGAAACTATAAAAAGTTGTCCTTTAAATGTTTCATTATTTACAATCGTTTGTTTGCTTTATTTTTGGGAATTAAACCTCCTTCCATCCATCCGTTTTCACTGCTTAATCCCAGTTGGGGTCGCGAGGTGTGCTGGTGCCTATCTCCAGCTGTCTAAGTCTCCAGTCCATCGCAGGGCAACACAGAGACAAATAATCATTCACACACACACCCAAGGAAAATTTAGGGGAGCCAATTAACTGGACTGTGGGAGGAAGCCGGAGTAGCTGAACAGAACCCATGCATGCACAGGGAGAACATGCAAACTCCATGTAGAAAGACCCTGGGCCAGGAATCAAGCCCAGAACCTTCTTGCTGCAAGGGTGCAGTGCTACCCACTGCACCACTGAGCTGCCCAAGAGAGTGAAACCTTTATGTTCATAATGGGGAAAAAGCTAATTCTTAATAGGCCATACGTACTTATGGGATTTTAATGAGGCATTCAATCTGCAGAGCTGCAGAAAAAAAAAGCTGTTGATAAAGTAATTAAGATGGCATTATAACTGCTGCACCAGGACACCACTGGAAAACTCATTAGAGCATAAAAAAATCATAAACAACCTCTCCGACCCTAATCATTGCCTATTTAACCTACTGGAAAAAAACCAGAGCAGTCGAAGCATCAATATCCAAGCTCTGAAATATTTATCTGCCATTAGCACACCAAATATATCTTCTTTCTGACTTTCCACTTGCTGTTATATTATGGTTTTTTACACTATAAGTGCATTTATTCTTATTAACATCAGTAGTACATTTCTTAAAATTTTCTAAATTTGTCATTTTTTTGTCGTTTGAGCAAAGATTCTAAAATCTGACAAAGAAGACTGTTTCTAACGTTATATGAAGTTAAAAAAATCGACCTTAAAAAAGTGAAACAGTTCTGTAGTATCTAAGGTTATAGCTCCCCACACAAACAATGCCCTGACATCTAAAAATTCCTTACATCTGTTTAGATTTATATGAACCATAAATTACATAATTCAAGAACTATTTAAATGTGGCATGATTGCCCCATAATATTCAATTTCTTCATATTTTTTGGCAGTAAAATGAAATAAAATAAAATAAAAATTAGGAAGAATTGAGCAAAAAAAAAAGCAGTTACAGTTTATTATGTTGTAACATTTTTAACTAAACAAGAGACTTCCTTAGAGAATGTCAAATATACAAACACAACTACTTGATCTCCATTCTTATTTTCCTAAAATGTATACTGCAGCTGCTTATACAAGGCTTAGAATTTTATTTCCAAGTTTTTGATGTAATAATAAAATCAAAGTCAATTTCTGTTTTAATATTCACTTAAATTCGGGTATGCAGAATGGCTTCAGTTAATGACTAGAACAAAAATACATAACATACATGCAGTCATAGAGAAAAATATTAAAGCCTGTTGGGTTCTCTATTCTTGTAAATTTTTCTTTTTTAGATTCTTTAGTTAATAATAAACAAGAAATTGAAGAATACAAGGGTGGTCTGATATTATTTCCATGACTGTATATACAATTCATAGAGCAAATTATTTCAGTTGTCAAAATTATCTTTATTATATTGATTACATTTAAAGAATACTATCTGGGGAGTACATAATAAACACATAATAAACTGAAGACCCATTTTTTTATTTCTCTTATGTGTTCAGAAGATGCTGAGTAGTAAACCTTTCATATTTAGATTTAAATAAAAAAGCATCAGAAACTCTCTGTGACATTTCTGTCCTTCTGGGAATCAGCTGTTCTCCAGCTCGTCTCTCTTCAGCCCTGAGAGCAGCTTTTCTCCTCCCGTTGTCCCAGCACTTGATGTCCAGATGCCTTGCCCTCATGTGTCAGTGGCTGCTAAATAATCCCTCAGGTTAATTCTTCCCAATCTCATTAGAGTCACTAATAATAGCCAGATGCTCCCTGAGGAAGAAGGAATCATCAGATCTTCTGTGTGTTCTATTCGTCTGTCTGCAGTCTTGCTCGAGTCACAGGTTTTTTTTCCAACTTTTGGCATCTGCAGATGATATTTTCAGAAAGCTGTCACTGCTATCAGTGATGCTAATGGCTTCTTTATGGTAGAAGGCAATAGAGATACCTGCAGGTTTGCTCTTTGCTGGCTGTAGAGTCAGCAATCCTCTCTGATCCCCTGATCAACTGCTTACCGGCAGTGACGACAGCAAACAGTCCACCACATCGCAGTTAGATAAGGCAAATCACAAACTGTTTGATATATTTATGAAATTTAGATTGTACGAAAAAAGTTTGCATTGCCTTTGCTTAAGTTCAGTATGGGTTTCATATATGTACCCAAGGTCATCAATAAGTCCAAGGAAACCAAAAGCCACTGGTTTAAAAATAAAACATTTTTTTTATATAAAAACGCAAAAACAAACTAGATGAATATGAATTGCAGGCAGATGATGGTAAGTTGTTTAACAGCTTGGTTACCTGAAGGGGGAGTGGATGCTAGAGTTCACACGCAGGCTTGAATATTAGCAATCTAAAAGTGGCGATCCCCGCGGATTAATCCTGGATAAGTCGCACAGCTCGACAGTGAGCTGGAGGGGCAAGAAGAGACAGAGAGAGAAAGTTGATCTGATTGCACCTCAGCGGCCTGATGGTAATTAGGATGAAGGGAAAGTGTGGTGTAAATCTGCTGACCCCCGGTCAGCACTTTTCACCCTGCTGGAGCGGTTATAGAGCATCCTGGCTGCAGAGGCAAGACCACCAGTATGAAATGAGAGCTCGGTGGAGAAAAGGGAAACAAATTGGACGTTTGCCTTGTTCATTGCAATTACTGATGGG